CAAATCCCGCCAAACGCCTAGAGTTTTTCACACTTGGGTCAACTCAAATTCGTTTATTATCCTGAGCTTTCGGGCTCTCGCGGAAGTCCATCGTCAGATGTTTATCCAAAAGCATTTATAAACTAATGTCTACGCGTTCGGCCCCGGAGGACACAAAAGGAAGAACCACCGAGCATATGGCACGCTCTGCCATACATCAAGGATGTTTCAGAAGCGACCGGGCGCATCGCTGTGGGACTAGGTGTTGGAGCTGCACAGAGACCCAAGGCTACCATGCGCAACTAAGTAATGAAAATAAAAGACCAGCCGAACCCCAATTAACAATCCGTGGTAGTGTATCGCAAACAGGCCGAGAATTGATTGAAGCCTGGGCCTCCGATTAAATTCAGTCAATCGATTGATCGATCTGGCGCCGGTATGCGTCGCTCTCCACAGGCGTATTCGCACGGCCGACACTGTTGATTAACCAATTCCCTTCCCCTTCCCTCCCCCCACGTATGACGGTTGATTGGTTCCTGTCCCCTATAACTGTTGCTCGCTTTTCGTGGGCTCTTTAATCTCTGACGGTGGACTCCCACAAGAGTCCGAAAGCTGACGATAATAAACAAATTGGTACGGTGCTCGACAATCCTTCTTCCTTATCAACTGACTCAACAATCGGTTGATAGCCAGACTTCTTAACGGTTCGATCTTCGCAAGCTTGCGTACAGCACCGATGAGTTGCGCGCGAAGTGGTTTATGGTGAGACCTGTCGATTCAAGAATTGCGTGCGTATGCTATGCCACGCTTCAGCAAACCATGGCCCCTGCGGCCTGGTGTGCGCTGGCAGTTTTATTTGACCCGATTCCCTGTCGATGTATGCGTTTGCGCTCCCACTGGGTTTACAGGCCGTGTACATGGTTGTCCGATGAAGGGTATCTTCTCTCTCCCTCTCTGATCTAGAGGAGTGAATACCGGCTGGTGGCGCCTAGCGAAGTTGCGGGCGGCAGTCGTTGCTTTCACGCCCTCCTCTGTGTCGTCGCAAGGG